TCGGATCAAGCCCTTTCCTGTTGCTCTCTCCCCAGCCGTTCGATTATGCCCTCTCGGGTCCACCGTCGGATGGGACCGGTTCAAATTCTACGGTCAAGATCTAGAGCCATTTGGACTGCTCGAAGACCTCTTGGCTTCCTCTCTTGCGGGTATATATACCCCCTTACCTTTGCATTTTTGACTACCGAGCTTTCCAGACGCCGTTACTCTGCCAAATTTTCCCCCAAGCCGTTTCCTCCGTGCATCTTCCATGTTTGAACCGTCCGCCGTTCTCAAATTCGAGCATCCTCTAACTCCGGTAATTCCTTATTCCCTCTGTTCTTCCCCGTGGGTCCGGTCGCCTCGTCTGCGACCGTTGCATTGAAATGCGTTGTAGAAAAAAGGGGGGAAAAACGTCCTTGCCTGGTGCCGCCGGCCTTACGCCGACGGAGGGGCTGGCAATGTCTGACCTCCTGGGAGCCGTTAAGGCCCTCGGACTTGGCTTTGAGCCTCCGTGGCTTGCGGTGTAGTCTGTTTTTCTCTTACCATGCACTTTGGACCTCTCGACCACTAGGAGCTAACTCCCCCTCTTTGCCTTTCATTTTCAGAACATGTCGTCGAAGCAGGTTAGAGGTCGACAGGTTCCCGAGTATAGGGTCAGGGAAGACCCCGAGGACGTCACTATCTCCAGCACGTCTTTGGGCTGAAGTGAGGATTCCCTACTTCGCCAAGTCGAGGAGTACGCTGACGTGTCTGCCTCGTCTCCCCAACAAGACGCACTCATTCTCCTTGACGATGAGGGTGTCGACCCGCAAGCCGGCTCTCCCGGGCGTCAAGGGTATGGGGCTGCACCCACGAATACCCTTTTAGGGCTGGCCACAGACCTCGACCCATCCAAGATCAGGCCCCGCGCCGCTAGAAAGGCGTTCATCGACACAGGGATCGACCCTCTTCACTTCTACCTGATCATTCTGACCCCTCACGAATATGACCGTGTACACCCGGGCACTTACCTTTGGGCTAACCTTGCCCTTCCACCCCTTTGTGAAGGCTCTCTGCGGCTTTCACAGGATCTCGCCCGCACATTGTCACCCAATTGTTGGGTGACAATAAACTCCATGATAATATTGTGGAGGAAAATTTTGAGCCTCGACCTCAGCGTCGAGGAATTTTTGTACTGCTACTCCCTTCGGGCTTCCCCTAGGCAGAGGGGATTCTTTTACATAGCTTCCCATGCTAAGTCCAAACCTCCTGTCCCACCCGTGGTCATTGGGAAGACCACTAGTGCCCATGGGTGGAAACCCCAATTCTTCTTCCTAAGGGGTAATTTTAACTCTCACCCCCTCGACGGCGAGTGACCGGTGGGGACACAGACATTATTTAGCAAATACTCTAGGTTTCTCCCCCTTTTTCCTTTCTCGCAGGTTTCTGTGCAGCTGTCGAGCCTTCTGACGATGTTTCACTCTCGTAGGTGAAGAAGTTGACCGTCCGATGCTCCCAACATCCGCGTTCGCTCGCGTCGAGAAGATACTGTCACTTTCCCCTGACCGTTGGCGTGCCTCTATACTCAACACAAAGGAGAACCAACGACTGTACGGCCTCATCGTTGATCTTTCCGCCCCACGCCGACCCGTTGTCCCTCCCGTCGATCTCCTCAGCGGTAAGTAGGGTTTTTCTCATTTGACTTTTTTAGCGAAGCCCGGGGGGCGTAATCGAGGTGTTCCTGAATTGACTCTTCATTTTATGTGCAGCCTTGCCTTTCGGGATAAAGTATAGCCTTCCCACCAAGCCGCGGAAAGGCCAGACCATGCCCTCGACGAGCGGGACGTCGAGGAAGCCCGGGGTCGGGGACGTTGCCCCGACCGACATTACCGCGACCTCTAGAAATGGGGTGTTCATGATTGAAACCCCCTCGAAGAGGCAGAGGGTAAACGAGCCGCAACTACCTTCCGCGGTCGAGGGGTCTTCCGGGTAGGGACGCCGCCTGGAAAAGAACAAGGGCGCCGAAGTCGCGGCCAACTTGGCGGTGGCGCCGC